TTTGTTCCGGTAGTAGCAGTATCTACTGTGTAGTATCTGTCTCCATTGTGTCGTGTTTTTCCTGTAGGTCTTCCATTCGAGACGTATCTTTTGTTCTTCTCACCGTTCCGGGCTCGTCAGCTCGTCCCTTCAAGTGGGGATTTCTCATCTCTGGTGGTCTGGATGTGGTTCTGGTTTCTACCTATAGTTTTATGTATTGCAAAGGCTCCGCAGAAAGCCTCGTTCACCGGGTACACTGTAGCCCCATTTTAGGTATTCCAATCAGTTAAAGGCAGAAGACGGACTTACAAGCCTTCTAGTGTGATGTTTCTGACTATTCCATTCTCTCCCCTTCCAGTGTCTTCTCTATATCATAATGCAAGGGAAACCAAGATTCAAAAAAACAGTCAAGCATCTTAACACGATTCCTCACCCATTCCGACCATGGGTCAATTCCTGTATCTCAGAGCCTTGGAGCTCCAACATACCAGGAATCTTGTGTACCAAACACTATTTTAAGTGTCAGATTTTTTTTTTTTAAATAACAGAATTTTTGCTTTCCTGAGCCCCTGGGTAATGCAAACAGTTAATGCTCCAGGTTACTAACCAAAATGTCAGAGGTTCAAGTCCATACAGAGGTACCTTGGAAGAAAGGCCTAGTCTACTTCTGAAAAATCAGTCACTGCAAACTTTATGGACTAACAGACCATGCAAACCTCAGCATCTATGACCTTGAGATCAGAAGAACTAGATGGAACCATGACCCGCTGTTCAGAAAGGGATCACATAGAGTGGGAGGAAAATGTGGAGTAAAAACTCAGAATCAGAACTCTGGTAAACACTGATGGAGCCCCCAAGACTATGGCTTTTAGTCACCCTTCAGGCCTGGTACTGAACTTACCCCCATAGCTCAATTTTCAGCCAAACAAAAGGTCTATAAAGGGAACCATAAAATTAGAGAGGTGCACACACCTTAGAATAATCAACCATTTGTGGTCAAAAGAGCAACATTTATGCAAGGACAGAGTGCAGAAATATTAGGAAAGAAGTAGGAGTGGAAATAGGCAACAGGGAGGAAGTGGGATCAGTGATGCAATGTTGTGGGGATGGCAATCAAAAATGTGTATGAATTATTGGTTGGAGAACTCTTTTCTCTGTAAGCCTTTACCCTGTTCACAATAAAAATATTTCTGAAAAAACTGTGGAGCACAGTTCTCCTCTTACACACATGGGAGCCTCATGAGTCAGAATCCACTCAGTGCCCACTCCCACCTGCCAGGCTCACACTGGCGTATCATAATGATAAATGGTAAGTTTGTACATAATGTTTTGGCAACATGAAGAGGGAGCTCTTTGGAAGAAAGTATCTGGGGAAATAAAGGTTTCTAGGAAAGTGACCTTGTGGATGTGTTTTTATAAGGTTAATAGAATTTGTCAAGGTACAAAGGTGTGGTAGAGAACTTCCAGACAGAATGTTCAGAAATTAAAAAAAAAAAAAGAAGCAAAGGGGTATGTGAGGAAACTGGGAATAATAAAAAATGAAACAGCGTGTTGGGGTCAGAGTCTGAAAGATTTCGTTTTTAGGAGTTGGGTCTTATAGCGAACATCTTGAAACTGTTACACGTGTATAAAGAGTAGGCAGAGAGATCATTTGGACAGAGAACCCACTGCCATCGAGTTGGTTCCAACTCATAGTCACACTTTGTAGGGTTTCCGAGACTGTAAATCTTTATGGGAGTTGCCAGCCTTAACTTTTTCCAGAAGAAAACCCCAAAATAACCCCAAATACATAGGTGTATTATTAAGATTAGTATTCCAGATCAGTGGGGAGAGACTAGATTAATTAGATGGTGCCGAAATAGTTTAAATCTTTGAGAAGGATAGTTAACTTACTATAATAGCTTGAGAAAATATTATATGTATTGCATTTATGCCAAAATATCTATTAGGTTTTGAAAACTTGGGCTTAATTTGCAAAAGATTTTTCAATTCATTTTTTTAACTTGAAACTTTTTTTTTTTTAATAGCATCTGCAGAAAAAGAAGCAATAAAGGGTACATATTCCAAAGTAATGGATGCATATGGACTCTTAGGTGTATTAAGATTAAATCTTGGTAAGTTTGTTATTCATAACTATTCATTCAGGGTTTTTTTTTTTTCATTCCTATGTGTCTAGCTCTAAGAATTTAATAGAAACCACCTATAGATCATTTTCGGACTCCATATTTGAACAAAACATATACTAACATCTTTTAAACCCTAGTTAAGCTAATCTTATTAATAATAATGTGTGTTGCCCAAATGGACATGCTATGTGCTCAAACTCTTGTGATTTGAAGTTCCAGAGACACTGTTCTTTTTTAATGCTTTAAGGGATTGCCTCAGAAACTCTATACAGGGTGACTAATAGTTGGCTCATTAGCACTTAACAACCACAACAGCATTGGTTATTAAAAGACATTATCAGGGAGATGCACTTTTTCTTTGCTTCAGTCTGTTTAGAAAAGCATGTCTTCATTGGGACCACACTCATTTCTTTGGTTATTGTGGAAAAGAGAACAATTGTTTTGTATTAAAAAGGTTTGGTGTGAGCCTGTCTTTGCTACTGTCTGTCACTACAGGCTGCAGAGTAACCTTTATGATTTATCAGTTTGACCAGTTTGATTGTGGTTCACAGTGTGGCCTAAAGACTGGTACCATTCCTTGTGAACTGTTACTAGTCATGATTAGATAAGGAACCTGCACCCTCATGTAAATAAATACCCAGCTTCATTCATCTAGAAAGCCTTACTATGGAAAAAAAAGGCAGCCAGCCCCAAGTGATGTAGTTGATTCCTATTTTGGCATAAGCACCGTTTCTTACTGGAGACTGAGAACACAGTTCACTGGCCACATTTGGAGTAGCACTGGTATATAAAGTGGAGATTTGTCATTTGTTAATTGTCTTAGGGAATTTGCCAAAATTCCTTCTGAGGTTTTGGTCAACCAAATTACTTTATAAATATTAGTAGTTATCAGGACTTTTTGCCAGTATATTATCAGCCCTCCTGTCTATACCATGACTTTTACACTTGAAAATTTCAAAGAAATTTCTTAATGATTGTCTCATTGGAAATTCATGACCATCATAAAAGAAAGATAGAGAAGATACCACTTTTTTTTTTTTTTAAGTTAAGTTTTTTCATAGTAGAGGAATAGTGAGATTGTCCTGCTAATGTTTGGGTACTATTCAATAGTAAGTATATTTAAATAAGGATTTTTTTTTCCTCTTCAGAAAAGTACATTGTGAAATGTAAGCTTAAAAATACCAACAATAAGTTTGAAATAATCACAATGTTAGATTAAAAGATAGGACTTTTCATTGAATTCAATCTTTGGTTTCTGCAGGTGATACTATGTTACATTATCTGGTCCTAGTCACTGGATGTATGTCTGTTGGAAAAATTCAAGAATCTGAAGTTTTCCGAGTTACTTCCACTGAGTTTATATCACTGCGAATTGATTCTTCTGATGAGGATCGTATTTCAGAAGTACGAAAAGTTTTGAATTCAGGAAACTTTTATTTTGCATGGTCTGCCTCTGGAATCAGTTTAGATCTGAGTCTTAATGCACATCGTAGCATGCAAGAGCACACAACTGATAATAGATTTTTCTGGTGAGTTTTTAAAATAAATTTACTGTTGTACTCATGTGTTGTCCAGTAACTTAGTGATTTTGAACACGACAGTTGTGTTTCTAGCAATAGCAAGAGATTGGCTTTGCTGGTTAGTACCCTGCTCCTTCCTGCTCCAGAATCCTCAATCCTCAGGAGAGTATGGTAGGCAGCACTGCCGGTTTGGAGTTGGCATGTGACATAAAACCCATGTGCTCTTCCTGATCCAGCTTTTTGATTCTGAAATATATTGAAATACTTGTTTTAAATGTAGAATGAATTTGTAATAAAATTGTGACTTTCATATTTATTCTTCTTAGTTTTGAGATTTTGTCTCAGGCAGATCATCATTCTAATACCAAAGTTGCCCCCTGGCACCTCTTTATAAATATATATATGTGTACCTGTGTGTGTGTATATATACATAATTTTAAGGCTATAAGTAGGTGATCTTGATTTAAGAGCAACAAATTACTAAGTAGTAATATACTGGGGCAAAGTACAGGACTACAAGGGGGTTTCAAAAAGTTTGTGGAAATATTCCATTTTTCATGAACTATTTTGAAGGCTCCTCATACAACTTATGCTAAGTGACAGTGCTATTATTTCATGATGATGTATAAATGTGCAGTATTGTAAGTAATTACAAATGGTACAATAGAATACACATGACTATAATTAGCATTGGTTTATTGTAGCCAGACTAGATTTCTAGTACAGTGGTTCTATTGCATATCCATAGCATCATTGTTAACCTTTTCTTATAATACCATGTGCAAACCCTATTTCTTTATCCTTACATTTGTTTTAAGACAAAAGTCAAGGACTCTCTGTTCGTGACATCCCACAGTAACTCAGATTCAAGGGTTCCCTCCTCATATATTTTCTCCCTCTCGTACGTTCACCATCTACCTAAACACTCATTGAGTAGTACAGTACATTCAGGTCAGGTATGAGCCATTCACCCTGAGTGTCAGAAGGCTCAAAATCAACAATAATTGGTCACCTTGTAGCCGATATAGAGCTGTCTTGGCCCAGAGTAGTGGCATGGAGGATAGGGCAGGAAAAAAGGCTTTGGAACAGTTGTGTCAGAGACTTGGAGCCTAGCATGGGAGGAGATAATGATAAAGGGTAGGAGAGAGCAGATGGAGAAGTTGATAAGGCAGAGGGGTGAGCACAAAATCCTGTCTGCTCAGAAGCTAGTAATAAGGGGACATGCTTTTATCTTGCATTCAGAAATAAGCTTCAGAGAGTTAAAACCATAGCAGCTCTTAGGTAAACTGTCCTTCTCTTTTTGTTTCCTCCTCATACCTACCTCAATACATTTGCTAAATCTAATTGTTAGGAATATACTTAACTCCTCACTTATCAACTATCTTGTTATCTCACATCTCACATTTATGACTGAAGTGCAGTGAATTGTTTAATATCTCTAGTCATATTCCACCAAACTACTTTTTCCTGATGGGTGTGAGTAAGAGAAGGTGGGAGAAGGTGCAGATAGAATTTTATGGTTCAATTTTGAATGATTGTTAACAGGGTTAATTGTGACTGTAAAAACGAACTGCAAGAAAATTTTCTCTGGTCCTTATGAGGTGAAGGTTAAAGCTATCCCAAATAAATGTCTGACTTTTCTAAAGTGCTATGTTGTTGTTATTGTTAAGAACCATAATGTTGATTCTTACTCTTAGTGACCCTGTGCAGAATTTCCAAGGAGCAGCTGGTAGGTTTGAACTGCTGATCTTGCAGTTAGCAGTCCAGTGCTTATACTACAGCACCACTATATAGTCCCTCATATTGGCCACTGCTCCTCCCCTCAGTATTCTCCTTCATGTCTCAGGGTTCTGCAATTCACTGCAACATCTCACAGAACACACAGGCTGTCAAGGAAATGGCTCACACAGCTATGGAGGCTGACAAGTCCCAAATCTGCAGTTCACACATTAGTCTGGAAAATTCTCACTCACACCTAACCAGGCTGTTAACTCACATGGATGTGGAAGCTGGTGAATCAGGTCAGGCAATAGTTTCTGTTCAAGTTCCAAGAATTGAAGGTTAGTCAAGCAAAGGAGTGCACCTCAGTGCCACTTACATTGCCAAGATGACTCCTTTTATACCCACAGAAAGGCAAAATTGACCAAGTCCTTTGTTAGAGTTCCAAGTTGTTACAGTCACTGCACTGCGATGACAATGGTAAAAAAAAAAAAAAAAATCCAAGTATTTTGTATAGTGACTAATGCCAAGGTGCTAGGTGAGAGCAATGCATGTTGTCATGGTTAAGGTTATACATCAACTTGGCTGGACCATGGAGGGTTTATTTATCACTTGTACCCTTGCAACCTGGTATTCTTTTCCAGGATATAGCCAAGACAGTTTTGTAGTCTTAAGAGTGGTAAATGCCTATCACAAAATTGAGGTAGTTTTATTCTGTTGGAAATTCAGAGATGCTACCAGATGCGACCTGTGTATAAGTTTAGATAGAATTAAAACAGTAGCATGTTGATATCAAAGAAAAGTTAAAGCAAATAGCTGGAAGAACAACTATATACAAAATGCATAGGATGTGAGATCTGTCTAACTGAGAAAATTAAGTCTCTCTTTGCCTATGTTAGAAGTCCTGGTGTGGCACTGTAGTTCATGCACTGGACTATAACGTTGGTTTGAAACATGAGGTTGACAGTTCAAACTCATTAACCACTCCTTGGAAACCCTATACAACAACATGCCTGTATGATAATGAACATCAGCTTGGTGTCTGGGAATATTTATTGAGTCACAATCAATTTGAACTTTCTCCTCAGTTCACTGTAAATAAAATATGAAAGCTTAAGTCATTTATTAATTTTCAAAATTAGCAGATTTAATTTTATCCGAATAGTAATCTGACCACTTATTTCCATTTTAATTTGCTGTTCTTAAATGGAACAAGGTAGATTGTAAATTCATCAACAATTCTATACAAAGAAATAACATTCATTAACAATTCTATATAAAGAAATAACTGAAGTAGGGCACACTTAGTATAAACACAAAGACAAAGTATCTTTCTCTTTCATGGACCATAGATCACATACATACCCCAAACCCAAAACTAAACTAAATTCACTTCCATTGAGTCGATTCCAACTCATAGGGACCCTATAGGACAGAGTAGAACTGCTCCCTAGGGTTTCCAATACTGAAATCTTTATGAAAGTAAGACAACTTCATTTTTCTCCCTTAAAGTGGTTGGTGATTTTGAACAGCTAACCTAGTCAGCAGCTGAATGCTTAACCCACTGCACACCCCCAGGTCTCCTTTCACATATTATATGATCTTATATTATAATCCTATCTTCTTATCTCTAGCATAGGCATTGTAAATGACTTAGTTTGTTTACTTTTAATTTAGTATTATCAGTTTAATATTGTAGAAGCACCATTTTAAAACATATACTTTGTTTTTAAAGGCTCAATAAGCTAATGAAGTTATTTCTTTTTCTGTTAGGAATCAGTCTTTACACTTGCATCTCAAGCATTATGGTGTGAATTGTGATGACTGGTTATTACGTCTCATGTGTGGAGGAGTAGAAATCAGAACAATTTATGCTGCTCATAAACAGGCAAAGGCCTGCCTCATTTCAAGACTAAGCTGTGAACGAGCTGGGACCAGGTTTAATGTCCGTGGAACAAATGATGATGGTCATGTTGCTAATTTTGTAGAAACAGAACAGGTACATAGTATTTTGTATTGCTTATTTTATATATTATTTGACAGGTGCAGAAAATACAGTCAACTCTGTATCTATGGGTTTTGCCTCCACAGAGTCAACCAACCTTGGATGTAAAATACTGGGGAGTGGGGAAAGTAACTACATGGTTAAAGCAATTCCTCAAAGGCTAAGAAGGAGCTTCAAGTACAATTTACTTAGCAGTTACATTGTATTGGTATAGCAAGTCATCTAGAGATGATTTAAAATAGGTACAGGAGGATGTGCTTAGGTTGTATGCAATACTACAACTTTTTATGTACAGGACTTAAGCAGTGAGGATTTTGATATCTATGGGAGGATAGGCGTATCTTGGGGAGGTGTCTTGGAACCAATCCCTCATGGATACTGAGAGGCAACTGGTGTAAAATGATAGCTTTTTAAAAAATCATTTTGCCATCTTTAATACTATTTTTCACTGTTCTTGACTGTCTTTTTTTGGTGGTGGTGGGGGGAACTTTAGGAAAAGTTCCCCTAGAACAAGCTTATTTAAGTATGGTTCTTCATTAAGTAACAAAGATAGTCACTAATTAACACGGCATTGTCATTGCTGTATGTGGTATTAAATTTTATAAATTCTCCTTGGTGTAGAGCTGGACTGCATAAAGTGTTTTTTTGTGTGTGTGTTTGTTTTTGTGACAGTTTATCAAACCCTATTACTTTTTTTAAAAGTTTTTATTGTGAACTGAGTGAAAGTTTACAGGGAAGATCATCAGTTTTACATTCAACAAATCATACACTTTATTTCATTATAATGATTATAATCCTCTCCATGTACCATCAGTTAACAGTATTTCTCTCTATTCATTTTAGTTCGTTTTTTGTTCTTTTTAAACACTCAGGCATATATAATCATTTAAACCACCAAAGGGCATATTCTGCAAGTCTGCTTCCTGGCCGCCAGCTCAGTCCCTCTTTTTCCTTGAATGTAGAGTCCTCAGCTGTCCCCTCTCTCTGCCTCCATCTCTGGTGTAGCTGCTTCTCTGGATAAGGTCTTGCACTCCACTTGTGTCCTTCTCCTTTGATGATCCTAGGGTCTTCTGTTTCTGGAGTGTAAGAATAACCACTTCCCTGTTTTTGTTATAAAACTTATACTTTTATAATTATGACAGTCGCAATTAGTCATGTAACAGTTTCTCACTATTGAATCATAAGAATCTTACTTATCCCCATCTGTTTTTACCCGACCCGTCTATACAAGATGAAAACTATTCAGTGGGGACTCTATCTTCCCCTACACACTCATAAACTAAATTCCCTCATGAAACCTTGTAAGCCAGTTACTTCATGCCTGTATTGCCCCCTCATTTTAGGTAACCAATGTCTGAGTTCCCTGTCACTAGCTACCCTAACTTGATGTGAAGACTCTTTCCCTCTCTGTTGGTATTTTGAACTACTACCTCCATGAGTATAGGTCAAGTTCATCAAACTGTAGCAATTTACTCTTGTTTCCTTTATCAAAAAAATTTTTTTTTTCTTCTATTTTTGTCTAGTCTAGTTCTGATAGATCATCAAGCCATTGAGACTAGGTCAAATGGGTACTTTCTACAACAAACCCTAACTCTTAATGATATTACATCCTCTAAAAGTTAAAAGTTATGACTACTAAATTTTAAGTAGACTTTATTTTTTAGAGCAGCTTTGTTTCTAGGTACCATCAAGTAGGTTTAACTCAGTAAACCCTTGCACAACAGAACAACACACTGTCTTGCCCTGTGCCATCCTCACAGTTGTTTTAATGTTTGAGCCCAAGGTTGGTTGTTGATACTGTGTCAGTCCATCTTCTTGGGGGAGGGATGTCTTACTCTTTCTCAATGACCCTTTACCAAGAGTAACATCCTTTTTCAGAGACTAGTCCCTCTTGACAGTATATCCAAAGTACGAGAAATGAATTCTCGTTATCTCTTGCTTCTAAGAGGAGTCCTGGTGTGGCGCTGTGGGTTAACGTGCCAGACTGCAAAGCCATTTGAACTGCAAAGTTGGCAGTTCAAGCTCACCAGCTGCTCCTCGAAAACCCTATACAGGGTCGCTATGGGTCAGGAGCATTCAGGCTGTACTTCTTTCAAGATTGATTTGCTTGTTCTTCCGGTAGTCTGTGGTATTTTCAGTAGTATCTTTTCCAACACTTGAATTCAAATGCATCGATTCTTCTCTGGTCTTTCTTATTCTGTTTGTTGTCCAACTTTCACATGCATATGAAGCAATTGAAAATGCTATGGCTTAGGTCAGATACACCTTAGCCCTCAAAGTAACATCTTTACTCTTTAACACTTTAAAGAGGTCTTTTGCTGAAGATTTGTCCAGTGCATTAAGTGATTTCATTTCTTCACTGCTGCTTGCATGAGAACCTATTTTACATGCAAGTAAAATGAAATCTTCGACAATTTCAGTCTTTTCTCTGTTTATCATGATCATTTTTTATTGCTCTAGTCATAAGGATTTTGTTTTCTTTACATTGAGTTGTGATCCATACTGGAGGCTGTATTCTTTGATCTTCTTTAGCAGGTACCTCAAATCCTAATTGCTTTCAGCAACTAAGGTTGTATTATCTGCATATTACAGATATGTATTATCTGCATATTACAGATTTAATGAACCTTCCTCCAATTCTGATGCCTTGTTCTTCTTCATATAGTCCAGCTTCTCAGACTATTTGCTCAACATGTTGTTGTTAGGTGCCATAGAATCTTTACCAACTCATAGTGACCCTGTGCACAACAGAATGAAACACTGCCTGGTCATGCGTCAACCCCACAATCGTTACTACACTTCAGCCCTTTGCTGCTGCCACTGTGCCAGTCCATATCATTGGGGTCTTCTCTTTGTCCCCTACCCTCCACTTTACCAAACATGATATCCTTCTCCTGGGACTGATCCCTCCTTATAATATGTCCAAAATATGAGAGACTAAGTCTGACCATCCTGTCTTCCAAGGAGCATTCTGGCTGTACTTCTTCCAATACAGATTGGTTTGTTCTTTTGGCGGTCCATGATACTTTAATATTCTCCTCCAACACCATAGCTCAAATACATCAATTCTTCTAAGGTCTTCCTTATTCACTGTCCAACTTTCACATGCATACGAGATTATTGGAAATACCATGGCTTGAGTCAGGCATCCCTTAGTCTTCAAACTGATACCTTTGCTCTTCAACACTTAAAGGAGGTCTTATGCTGTAGCTATGCGTAATGCAATACATCATTTGATTTCTTGACTGCTGCTTCCATGAGTGTTTATGATTCATACGAACAAAATGAAGTCTTTTATATTTCCATCCTTTTTCCACTGGTAATTCAGGCTGTTGTTTATTGGTCCAGTGGTGAGTATTTTTGTTTTCTTTATGTTGAGGTGCAACTTATAGTGGAGGCTGTGGTCTTTGAACCTCTTGAGTATTTTCAGTCCTCTCTTCTTTCAGCAAGCAAGGTTGTATCATCTACATAGCACATGAGTCTTCCTCCAATCCTGATGCCACATTTTTCGTTATATAATACAGCTTCTCAGATTATTTGCCCAATGTACGGATTGAATAAGTATGGTGAAAGAATACAACACTGGTGCACATCTTTCCTAATTTTAAACCATTTGCTGTTCCCTTGTTCTGTTCGAACACTGCCTTTCTGTGTACAGGTTCCTCATGAGCACAATTATGTGTTCAGAATAATCAACTCTCCGCAGTGTTGTCCTTAGGTTGTCATGACCTACACAATCGAAAGCCTTTGTGCAGTCAATAAAGTACCAGTAAACATCTTTCTGGTATTCTCTGCTTGCAGCCAAGATCTATCTGACATCAGTAGTGATAACCCTCTTTCAGAATCCAGCCTGAACTTCTGGAAATTCTCTGTTAATATATGGTTGCAGCCAATTTTGTATTATCTTTATTAAAATTTTACTTGCATGCAATATTCATGATATTGTCCTATGATTTCCTATGAGTCACCTCTTTTGGAATGGGCACAAATATGGATCTCTTCCAGTCAGTTGGCAAACTAGTTGTCTTCCAAATGATTTGTTATAGATTAATGAGTACCTCCAGTGCTGCATCAGTTTGTTGAAACACTTCAGCTTATATTCCATCAATTGCCTGTGTCTTATTCTTTCCCAATGCCTGCAGCACACCTTGAATTTCTTCTTTTAGTATATTGACTCTTGATCATATGCTACCTCTTGAAATGTTTGAACGTCAGCCATTTCATTTTGGTACAGTGACTCTGGGTATTCCTTCCACCTTGTTTTTATGCTTTCTGTACCATTCCATAATTTTCCCATAGAACCTTCCAACATTGCAAATCAGGGCTTGAATTTTTCTTCAGTTCCCTCAGCTTGAGAAATTCTGAGTGTGTTCTTCCTTTGGTTTTCTAGCTTCAGGTCTTTGCACTTTTCCTTATAATATTTGACTTTGTCTTCTCAAGATGTCCTTTGAAATTCTGTTCAACTCTTGTACCTCCTCATTCCTTCCATTTGCTTTAGCATCTCTGTGCTGGAAAGCAAGTTTCAGAATCTCTTCTGACATACATTTTGGTCTTTTTCTTCTTTCTTGTCTTCTTAATGATCTTTTGCTTTCTTCCTGTATGATGTTCTTGATGTCATCTCACAACTTTTCTGATCTTTGGTTTTTAGAGCTTAATGTATCAAGTCTGTTCTTCAGATGATTTCTAAATTCAGGTGGGATATATTCAAGGTCATACTTTGGCTCTCGTGTACTTTTTCAAATTTTCTCTAGCTTCAGCCTGAACTTGCATATGAGCAATTGATGGTCTGTCCCACAGTCTGCCTGCCCCTGGCCTTGTTTTGGCTGATGTATGCTCAGCATACAGATTGATAAGGATGGTGAAAGGCTACCCTGAACACATCTTCTCCAAATAAAATGGATACATCGTATTTGACACCATATAGTATCCCCTTGTTCTGTTCCAACAGCTGCTTGTTCTATGTACAATTTCTGCGTGAGCACAATTAAGTGTTCTGGAATTCCCATTCTTTGTAGTGTTAACCATAGTTTGTCATGATCCACATAGTTGAATGCCTTTGCATAGTCAATAAAGCACTAGTAAACATCTTTCTGGTATTGTCTGCTTTCAATCAAGATCCATCTGACGTCAGCAATGATATCCCTAGTTCCACATCCTTTTCTGAATCCAGCTAGAATTTCTAGCAGTCCCCTGTTGTTGTAGAAAAGTTTTAGGTATATAGTAAAAATTGTGCAGAAAATACAGAGTTTTCATATTCTCCTTTTCCTTGTTTACACGGTTTCTATTTTTGACATCTTGCATTCCTGTCTAGGAATTGATGAAACAATACTGATATATTATTATTAACTAAAGTCTATAGTTTACAGTAGAGTTCATACTTTGTGGTGTACAGCCCTATAGGTTTTGACAAATACCTAATTTGGCCCTCTTGACAATATCATACAGAATAGTATGATAGTTGTTGTTAAGTACTTTTGAGTTGATTCCATCTCATAGCGACTCTGTATAGGTTTTTTTTTTTTTTTTTTTTCCTCATTCGTTTATTTATTGTGTACATATATGCATATACCACATAGCCTCCACGGCACATCACCATCACCACCACCGAGCAAAATGTTTCCTATTACATTTTTCACGTGTACAATTTGGTGATTGTGTGCATCATTTTGTGCAATCAGCATTAGCCATTTTTCCACCGCCCTTAACAGAAACTCAATGCCTCCCAGCTGACCTCATTCACTCTTTTTTTTTAAACTAACATATTTTATTGTTTAGGTTCTTGTTAGATTTACAGAAAAATTGAGCAGATGGAACAGAGTTCTTATACACCCTATTCTTTAGATCTTTTATGTTGTTGTTAAGTGCCATCGAGCTGGTTCTGACCCATAGTGACCCTGTATAGGGCTTCCAAGGAACAGCTGGCGAGCCCAAACCACCGATCCTGCAGCCCAAACTAGCCCTGCAGTCCAGTGCTTTAACCCACAGTGCCACATCAGAACTTCTGTATCTTAGTGAATTTGCTGTAGCTGATGGAGTCCTGGTGTATAGGATTTTTGAGGAGCAGCTGGTGGGTTTGAACCTCTATCTGTGATAAGCCATTCAGTGATTTCATTGTAGTGCCACACCAGGACTGCCCTTTATCGATTCACCTGTTGAAGAATATATTAATTGCTTCCAATTTTTGACAGTTAAGAATACAGCTGTTGTAAACAATTGGTGTGCATATTTTTATATGGACATAAGTTTTCTTTTCATTTGGACAAATCTCTAGGAGCACAGTGGCTGGATTGTATGGCAAACCTATGTTTAGCTTCAAAAGAAACTGTCTTCCAAAGTGGCTGTAGCATTCCTACCAACAAAGAATGAGTTCTTGTTTCATATCCTTGCCAGCATTTGGTGTTGTCAGTATTTCGGATATCATTCTAATAGGCATGTAGTGGTGTCTCATTTTTTGTAATATGCAATCCCTGTGGCTCTGTAGGATAAACACTGGACTGCAGACCTTAAAGTCAGTGGTTCAAACCTACCAGCTGCTCCTCTGAAATACAGTAGAACTGACTCAAGGGCACACAACAACAACAATGATATATGATGTTGATCATTTTTTCATATGCTTATTTACCCTATCTCTGTAGTTGGTGATGGTTCTGTTTAGAATTTTTGCCCGTTTTGCATTTTCTTGTTGTATACTATGATGTTTTTTACTTTTGTGGCACTGTAGGGTAAACACTCGATCACAAGGTCGGTTTGAGCTCCAAAGTCTGCAGTTCAAACTCACCAGCCACTCCTTGGAAACGCTGTACAGGCTCGCCATGAGTCAGAACCGACTCAATGGCTCTTAACAACAACAACAACTCCACTACATAATTATAAATTCAGACTTCTATTTTTATGCTTTTTGAGAGCCAGCCCCCACCTCCAGGCCAATACAAGTCTCCAAATTAAGTTTTTGAAAACTGTGTTGTTGTTATGTGCTGTTGAGTTGGTTCCTAGTCATAGCAACCCTGTATAGAGTTTCTGAGGAGCAGCTGGTAGGTTTGAACTGCTGACTGTGTGATTCACAGTCCATTGCTGATCCTACAGTGCCACACCAGGAGTCCTTGAAAAATAGAAAACGCTAAAATAAAATTAACTCTAAATGCATTCCTGTTAAAAATTGAGGTTTAAAATGAGTTCTTTTTCAAAAGTTATGATTCTTATGGCTATACTTTTGCTATTTTCTTGGTTAATATATGTAGAAGAACTCTCACTGAAAAAAATCAGTAAGCTTATGTACTGGCCTATTTTGAATATTTTGATTAGGGAAATTTGGTCATGAGATATGACAAAGGTGCACCATATTTTAGTAAATTTGTTTTTATAAAGAGATGCAATTCTTTTTGTGGAAATATTTTATATATTATCTGTCTCTGCAGGTTGTGTACTTGGATGACTCTGTTTCTTCCTTCTTACAAATCCGAGGATCTGTTCCATTGTTCTGGGAACAACCAGGCTTACAAGTATGTATTTGACATTCTTTGTTTTTTTTTTTCCCCTCTTGCAAATTTCCCATATTTTCTAAATTTTCAGAATAGCTCATTAGTTCATAGCTTTATTATTCCTTCTAATCGTACTAGCTAGATTTGCAAATAAATAACAGAGTACAGAATCATGGGAATTGTTTTATTTTTCATTTAATGTTCTTTCAAATAGCCATAGATATTCAGCTGCTAAACTTATTATTTAATGTTTGGTGTGTGCTTTTATAGTAAGTTGATAAGTCAGTTTCCATTGAGTCGATTCTGACTCATGGCAACCCCATTTGTGTCCGAGTAGAACTGTGCTCCATAGCCTTTTCAGTGGCTGATATTTCAGAAGTAGATCACCAGACCTTTCTTTTCAAGCACCTTTGGTTGGATCTCCACATGTTAGTCAAGCATATCAACTAAGTACATTCACCATTTGCACCAGCCAGGGACTCCATCTTACTGTCTTGATAATAGAACAATTTAGTACCTTAGGCAGAAATGTGTAATCGTTAAAGCAAAGACTGTGGAACCAGACCAACTAATTTGACACTTTGCTCTAGCACTACTAGCTGTGTGATTTTGTGTCTTAGTTTCCATATCCCTAATGTGGTAGCCATAATAATAGTGGTAGTGGTGGTGTCAATTACCACCGAATCTGTTCCCACTTGTTGTTAAGTGCCGTCGAGTCAATTCCAACCCGTAGTGACCCTGTATAGGATTTCCCAAGGAGCAGATGGTGAACTTGAACCGCCGACTTGCAGTTCAAATGGCTTTGCAGTCTGCATTAACCCACAGCACCACACCAGGACTCCTGACCCCTGTAAAGGGTTTCCAAGGAGTAGCTGGTGCATTTGAACTGCTAACCTTATGGTTTGCAGACCAGTGCTTATCCTATAGTGCCACATCAGAAGTCCCCCATAATAGTAGTTGTTTTTAAATGCTGTCGAGTCGATTCCGACTCATAGCAATCCTATATAGGGTTTCTGAGGAGTGGCTGGTAAGTTTGAATCACCTACTTTGAGGTTCAAACTGACCTTGAGGTCAAGTATTTATCCTGTGGTGCCACACCAGTACTCCCACAAAATAGTAGTTTCTACTTTTTAGGATTGTTGTAGGGTTAAATAAAAAGCAGTAAGAGTAATGCTGCTGCCTCTCCAAGTTAAGAATTATGTACGAGGGGACAAGAACACTGGTAAGGTCTACTCATGGAATGATCAGCGATTCAAAATCAAAATGGTACCATTTACTTAAGAACAAAATTGAAAAGGGGTAGGAAGATGGGTGGAATGGAAATAGGACCCACAGAGGATTTGAGATAACTGTTGTTGCAGGGAAGGGATTGAAATCATTGAGATGAAACAAACTATATGATTTGTTGACTGTAAAACTGATAATCTTTGTAAACCTTCACTCAATTCACAATAAAAACTTGCTAAAACAAAAACAAAACTATGTATGAGTTAACTATTGTTCTGTTTGTTGTTGAGTGCCGTAGAGTTGATTCCGACTTATAGCAACCCTATGTAGTGTTTCCATGTAGTGGCTGGGTGGATTTGAACCACCAACCTTTACTGGCTCAAACTGACCTTGTGGTCCAGCGCATTATCCTGCAGTGCCACATCTACCAGTACAATTTTCCTCAATAATTTATTGTTCTGTTCTCTGACTTACTTTTCTGATATTCTACTAATCTATTTTTTCCTATTAATATAAATGTCTAATTTATAATTAAAATGTAAAATTTTAAATGTAAGATCATAATATTGGATTGCTCATAATTGTGCAATTTTGCATATTATTTTTATTTTTAAAATCTTTAGTCCATAAAATGTAAGTATAAGGGTGAGTCAAAAATTATCCACACTCTGGTTATTGTAAAATGCCCATCCACATCCACAGCTGATGACAACATTGAGTATGAACGTGAAATGATTCAGTCGAATAGATGAGTGACAGTGGATTTTGTGGCAAATCATTTGCAAATCAGCCATGGCTCTGCCTATGAAATAATTCACAACAGACTTGGGTTTTGAAATGTTTTGCTAGGTAGGTACTGAAACAACTCATGGAAGAGCATAAGCAGAAGCGTTTGTACACCTGCAAACAAAATTTGGACCGATACTCAAAGGAAAGTAAAAGTTTCTTTAAAAAAATCATTATGGGTGACAAGACACTTACTCATCACTATGAGCCTGAGAGTAAACGGCAAAGTATGGAATGGAAACGTCCTCAATCACTGACCAAGAAAAAGTTCAAAAGTCAACCTTCAGCTGGAAAATTGATGCTTACAGTTTTCTTGGATTTTTAAAGACCACTATTGAAACACTCTCAGGAAAAAGGTTCAGCAATCAACAGTGCTTGTTACTGGATTAAACCCAGAGGACTGCTATCCAAGGGCATTGTGATCTTGCATGGCAGTGCACTTCTGCCCATACTGTTGACATTCTGCAAAAACTTCGTTTTGAGGTGTTAAAACATCCTTCTTATAGTCCTGATCTTGCTCCATCAGACTTTCACATGTTTGGTCTCCTGAAAGCAGATAGCCCTTTGAGGATGACGCCCTTTGATGAAGAAGCAAAGACAGTGGTGCATTTCTGGCTTGCAGCTCAGGCTGAAACAGTTTTTTAATAAGTTAATAGGTTATAATGCAGAATCAGGTAATGCTTAGGATTCAGTTGTTTTGTAAGAACATTTTCTTCTCTGCCATGTCCACAGGCAGGCCTATTGGCATGGCTTCTATCATGCTCAGGTAGTGTCACAAAACTCTTTTAGTACTGATAAATGCCCAAACAGTACTCAACTCTGCTACATAATCTCAGTTTGAGATTAGAGCACTATCCTTTAGCTCCATGGGTCAGCAAACCGAACTACCCCAATTAAATTCCTGGAGGCACCCCATTCTGCAAATGAGCCTCCAACCCTAAGGCATTCACTCAGCTTTACTTAATCTGTGGGCAGGAAGTCCACCACTCTGGCACTCTGGGTTCTTCTTCTTCTGCTGCTGCTGCTCTTCCACACCTCTGGTACTCCTCCATTGTTACAGCTTCCTGTCCCTGGACCAAAGATGTTCAGTGCACAGGGATCTCAGGGTCCAAAGGACATACTTTACTCCTTGCTCTTCTTCCTTGATAGTAGTAAGAGCTCCTATTCCTGCCTTTGAGATGGCTCATTCCCACCAATTCTCTGCCATCTAGTGGATTCTGACTCATAATGACCCTGTATAATGCTTCTGAGGTTGTAAAGCTTTACAGGAGTCAAAAGCCTCTTCTTTCTCCTGTGGAACAACTAGTGGTTTGAATTGTCAACCTGTGGTTAACAGTCCAGAGCTTATCCTACAGCACTGCCAGAGTTCCTTGGAGGGCTCATTATAGACCCACATTAGAGTTACAAGTTTTCACAATTACAATGAACTCTGTTAACAGTCATTCACAACTAAATCATATCCTGTCAGCATTTTCTCCCACCTTCCCAGCTCCACCAGGAAAAGGTCTTGTGGTAGAAGTTTACAAAGACTGTGTCTAGAAGAGTCTTGGTGTGATGCTGTAGGGTAAGTACTTGACTGATAACCATGAGGTTGGTGGTTCAAACTCACCAGCTGCTCCTTAGAAACCCTATACAGGGTCGTTATGAGTCAGCACCAACTTGACAGAAAGAACTTAACAGCAAGTGACTGGAAGAGACATTAAATAAATAATTCACTGCACTGCAGAAGTTCAGAATTAACATTGTCTAAATGTCTAATGTAGTTGGATCCTGAGTAGTTATTGAGGGTCCCTCCTTGGATGGGACCTCCTTTCTGCTTACTTTTCATGTTGTGCTGTGGTCAGCCCATGTAGATAATCTAGCTTGGCTAATGTTATAACTTTGGGTTAAAAACCATGGATTTTTAAATCATGCATTTCTTCATAAATATAGTAATTTTTTGCCATCAAGTCAGTTTAACAATTCTGCTCAACTGTCACTGAACAGGACCAAGTGTTAACGTGAATTAGAAAAAGATTGGGTCAGAGGCTTTCTCAGTTATTTAGCTTTTAAAGTCAACCTTTCTGGACTTCTGGAACAAGATGGTAGAGTAGGCAAAAGCCTGTAGGCACAAGATGCAGCTAGAGGTTGGCACAAGGTGGAGGTAGCAGTTCTTTCTTGTTCCTGTGCCCTCTCGGGAATCAGAGGCATGGCCAGTCCTCACCATCACCAACCCAGTGGCCAGTGACACTCCTCTCCCCTCGCCCAGCCTATGCTTTGCCTGAAGTTGGGCACCAGGCATAGCACTCCTGCTCTAGAAACATGTGTATCCACCCTGAACTATGCCACATAAACAGGGAACACACAACTGTCTTCATGCTTCCAGTTTCTACAACATCTGCCAGGAGGCAGGTGCTGAGTGCCTAAGAACACACCAATATATAATGATCAATTAAATATAAATATAACACCGCAATGTCTTGTAGAAAACAGACAATTTCTGCTTAAACAAAGAGACAAGGTACTGACTGAAGTGACCAAACTACAGAATCAAAAGATATAAAACCAGAAATGGCATGGTAACTACTTCATCCAAAGTTCAAAGGAATGTTATTTATGCACCTTAAATGGATTGAGACAATGATCAAGAAAACTTCAGATGAAATCAAGCAAAGTATCGACAAAACTGTAGACAAATCCAGGAAGCAAACTGACAAATGGAGAAATGGAAAGCATACAAAAACAGCAATTAGAAAATCAGAAGTTAACAAACACTTAAGACTTCAAAAATAGGTAACACTGAAAGGGCAAAGAAGTAGAATTACTGTTTCTTCTAAAGAAATAATCAGAAGAAAGAACAAAAGATCTAGAGAAGACTTAAGGTATTTCCAAAGGTGTAATTGATATGTTAATTGGAATTTCAGATTAGGAAGAGACGGAAAAAAAAAAATCCATATAGAGTATTGTCCAAGAGTTGTTGGAAGAAAACTTCCCTAATATCATGAAAGAGATGAGAAGATAAACACTCA